TCCCCGAGACAGAGCAACACGCACAGGTTTGAAACATGCCCGCGCCCGTGCTCTTGCGAATTCTTCAGAGCCCAAATGTCACATGTGCACGCATTTCGGCCAAATGGGCGCCCCCGCTGCGCCGCACGTCGACGTCATTCGATTGCCTTTACGCGCGTGCACGGGGAGGGGTGGGCACGATCCGTATCAAATAATACCATGTGGGCCACTGTCGCGCATCGGCCGCCCGCGCATGTCGAACACCCTCCAAAGCTTGCATCACATACGCGAGGGCGCCGTCATCGTCGTCGTTGTGATCAGCATCGGTGCCGTCACTGGCCTTGCCGTCGTCGTTGTCATCATCTTCACCAGCATCGCTGCCAACATCATCGCGTCTACCGTTGTCGACGTTGCCATGATACCGCGCCCGCCCAAGGCGCCGACTCGCACCGAAATGCCCGCGGGGAAATGCCCAGCGGTCAGCGCCAGCGCGGTCGCGTCGGCAGCGCCAAACTATCTGGCCGCTGCGCGTGCGAGCATGCGCTGGATAGCGCGGCCGCAGAGATGCACCAGCCAACCCCAAGCACTCAGCGCAATCGCCGCCGCATGGGTTTTGCAAGCCAAGGTACGGGTGGGTGGGTTGGACCATTCCACTGCGGGAGAAAATGCCCTTTACATAGATGTTACCGCATAGATCGCACCGCGCAGATTGCACCACACAGTTTTCCCAACAGATATGGCACCACATCGGTCGCACCGCATGGAGTGCACCACGCAGGTTGGATTTTGCAGTTTGCGCCACACCGGCTGCATCACATAGACCACTCCACATAGGATTGCGCAACATACCCGGCTAGAAACATGCCGTTTGGGGCCACGCTGGCTGTCACATGAAATTTGTCAACCATCCTTTGGTATTGGGTCCTCGTTATGAAATGACAGCGCCCCGCGTTTTCTTCCGTCTTGCTGCCCGTTCCTTTCTCCTCACGCCCTTGCCTCTGCTCTCCACATGTTGATGACGGCACACCCCTCAAACACTTCGTGGCTCCATTGGGATACCCACTGGATGCCCCACAGAGAGCTGTCGCGTGCGGGCGTCACGCCCGCTCCGGCACACCTTCGTGTTTCGTGGCCCCCGTGGGAGTTCCGCTGGAGGCCGCAGAGGGGAGGTTCGCATGCGGGCGTCACGCCCGTTTCGGTAATTACACCCCTCACGCGCTTCGTGGCCCCATAGGGAGCTCCGCGAAAGGTCCCAGAGGGCGCGTTCGCGTGTGGGCGTCACGCCCGTTGCGGCAAGCACCTCACGTGGTCTCGTGGCCAGGGAGCTCCGCCGAAGGCCCACGAGGGAACGTTCGCATGGAGGCCTCACGCCCATCTTCGGGACACCCCGCACACGTCCCGTGGCTCCATAGGGAGCTCCACCGAAGGCCCAAGAGGGAGCGTTCGCATGTGCGCGTCACGCACATTTCGGCACACACACACACACACACACACACACACACACACACACACACACACACACACACACACACACACACACACACACACACACGTCACGCGCTTCGAGGTTCCAAAGGAGGCCCCGCCGAAGGCCGCAGAAGGAGCGTTCGCACTTGGGCATCACGCCAGTTTCGGCACACCTCACGCGTTTCGTGGCCCAATAAGGAACTCATCCGAAGGCCCCCGAGGGACCATTCGCATGCGGGGGTCACGCCCATCTCGGCACACACCCCTCACGCGCTTCGTGGCCCCATGGGGGGCTCCGCCGAAGGAAGGCCTCGACTGCACGGTCCGCATGCGGCCCCAAACCCCCCACCCCATTTCGGCATGCCCCTCGCACACTGCGCGGCCCCACGGGGGAATATAGCCAGGACCACAATCAAAGCTGCCGTAGTTCCAATTGAATATCTTGTTGGGTCCTTCGCCCGGATGGTTAGGATTGTTTTTTGGCGAGGATGGTGGGGAGATTGTTGGCATGGGCCCAGGTTGGCTGCCGGTCAGGCGGAGGAGGGGCCGGTTACGTAGCCCCCCGCAGTCGCGGATAAGAGCGAAGGGGGCGGCGGGGACGCTGGCAGAGCGCGAGGCTCTGAAGGAGCCTGCCGCAGGCGCTTAATTTTGACACGTAGTACAACGAGCTTGCCGCATTCGTCGATTTTTTCGTTGAAGTACAGCAGGGGCGCTGAAGAAGGAACCCTCTTCGTTGGGGAGGGGCTCCGTATTCCTTGATTGCCTTACAGTTTTCCTCAGCTGTTCCCAAGCTTCTCCATGGGAAATCGAAGTTTAGCTCAAGGGAAAGAGGGGCCTCGTTCCTTATTTAGGGTTCCCTCGGTCAACGCCCCGACTGTAATGTGGGTGGGTCGCGGGTGGGTGGCGGGTGGGTCGTTGGCCAGGTCGCGGGTGGGTCGTGGGCCGGGACGCGGGTGGGTCGCGGCGCAGGCGTTTTTTGTTTTTTGGGGTTCAAGTAGTTTGGATGGGTCGCGGGGTGGGTCGCGGGAGAAGCGCGGGTGAGTCGCGGGGGGGTCGTGGGCCGGGTCGAAGGTGGGTCGCGGGTGGGTCGCGGGGTGGGTCGCGGGTGGGTCGCGGGTGGGTCGCGGGGTGGGTCGCGGGTGGGTTGCGGCTGGGGTCGTGGGCGGGTCGCGGGGTGGGTCGCGGCGCAGGCGTCGATTTTCTCGTTCAAGCAATGTGGGTGCGTCGCATGGTGGGTCGTGGGTGGGTCGCGGGTAGGTCGTGGGCGCGGGTGGGTCGCGGCTGGGTCGCGGAGCAGGCGTCGTTGTTTTTTCGTTCAAGGAATGTGATTGGGTCGCGGGGTGGGTCGCGGGGTGGGTCGCGGGTGGGTCGCGGGTGGGGTCGCGGCGCGGGTTGCGAGGTGGGTCGCGGGTTTGGTCGCGGGGGTGGCGACGACAACAAACAACAACAAACAACCAACAGCAACAACAACAGCAGCAACAACAGCAAACACAATCCCCACCGCAGAGCCCCTTTTCAGCCACGCGCCCAGCGCCCATGGATAGTGACTGACCGCTCGGCCTCTCACTCTGATTATCAGGAAGGGTTGATTAACCCTTCCCGGAAGGGGAAGAAGGGGGTGGTGGAAGAGGAAAGAACTCTCAGACCACCTGCGCCCAGAGGGCTGGTTGGTTTTTCGCGACGTCGGATCTCAGGGACGTGTCCTGAGGTCTTTCTGCCATTTTCGACTCCTCGGGACCCTCCGCGGGCCCCTGGACCGTCAGACACAGCAGCTCAGCACGAGAAGGCCAGTCCTGAGGGAAGGCCCTCCACGGGCTCACCACGAGGCCTCCACGGGCCCGGGGACTGGTCCGCTCAGGACGAGACGGCTGGCCCCATAGGCAAGGCCCCAGCTCCGGGGCCCGCTTCCCTCGGGACCCCTTCCCTGACGTCCGCTGGTGTGATGCTTCCGGTCCGCGGCCCCCGGAGGTCCCCGCCGTGTCTCCGGGGGTCGCCTCTGAGCACCAGTGCCTCAGGTTCCCCGCGGGCCCGAGGCCGGCCCCCGCGGGGGCCAGAGTCGGGAGGCAGCACCGCGACGGAAGGCGCGAGATGCTCGGAGGTCTCGGGCGGACGGCACGGGGGGGCAAACGTGGGGGGAGCGAGGACTACAGGAAGTGGGCCCTGAAGGGGCCCCCAAGGGTCCCTAAATTTCGAGTGGGGGATCGACTACATAATCGATTCACTCCAATGTTGAGTTCCCGTGGAACCGACGACACATACCTACAATGCTTCTTAGATTTACTGACGATTCGAAGATTTGTTCCAAGTGTTCGACCAGGGAATCAAGTTCGGGGTATATCGATTCTATAGTCGATCGCCTATTCGAAAACTGCTGCCGCCAGTCCACACGGTGCACGAAAGGCGCACACTTCTTGACCATATTCTTACTGCCGCCTGTTTACGAGTACGCGAAGACCTCGATTCCCAGACACGCGACGTCTTGATGGCCTCAGTGCGCAGTTCTCGCAGCCCGACCAAATGTGATACAAGTGTGATAAAAAAACAAGCGTGATAAAATACACATGTGATAAACATACAAGCGTGATAAAAACAAGTTGTTTGTTCACACTTGTTTTTCATCACACTTGGTCTTTGTTACAATTTATCACACTGTGTTCATCACTTGTTTCATTACGCTTTTTTTTTACAAATTATCACACAGTTTTGATCACACCTGTTTTTGTTGTCACACGTGTTCAGGCCCTTTCCCCACGGCCGGCCTTTAAAATCCCGAGTCGTTTTGTTGACGGCCCCAGGGCCCGGCGAGGGGCCCCCGCGGGACGCCAAGAGTGGCAAAGCAACTTGCCGCCGTGAGTCTGTCACGACTGGGTGTCGGGCCATAGCTCGGCAACCTGGCAGCCGTTCGGGACGATCTGGGCACCCTGGGAACGCCCTCGGCGAGATGCATCTGCTGGTGAGCATCCCGCAGCCGAAGAACCGCCGAAAACCAGAAGATCCTGGCCGGCGACGAGGAGGGAGGAGGGAGGAGGAGTAGGTTGGAGGCCCTCCTCCCTCTTCCTCGCCCTCGCTCCTCGTGGATCCTCGGACTCCCAGCCTTGGGGCATAGGCGGTGGCGACCAGAGCCCTAGACCCCATCTTTCTGCGGCACTCCGCGTGCTGGATCGATATGTGAGTGCCCTGGGGCCCGAAACTGGGCGAGCACGCCTAGTTTCAAGAGACGATCTTGGGAGCCTTCCCTTGTCAATACTCAGTCTGGCGTTCCTGCGCCTCTTGTTGTCTGCAGCCTTTTGCTGGCGGCACCGGAGGCCGCAGGGGGCCACCGGAGGCCACCGGAGGCCGCTGGAGGCCGCAGGGGGCGACTGGGGGAGTCACGGGAGGCCGCTCGAGGCTCGCAGGGGGCCACCTGGAGGCCACTGAAGGCCACTGCAGGAGCCACTGCAGGAGCCACTGCGTCCACTCGGCTGATCACGAGAGGCCCCCAGGAGCGTCTTCGGAGCCTTGCGTGAGAGGATCGCGCCGCCCAGATCTGTGGGGAGCCTGCCCCGTGCGAAAAGGCGACGCCGACGGCGAGAGCAGCCCGCCGTCGCCGATCCTCGGCCCGCAGCACGACCGCGGCCACCACCCGGGGAGCTCGGCACCGCCTGAACATATAACTTCACAGTGTGTGCGTCGTCGTCGTGCAGGAGTGACGTGCCCGCTCGGACATCGCATAGTGTAAGCTCAGTGGCGGGCGTTTTCTGGCCGTACCGCCCAGCTTGGGAGTGCGCCTCCAGGAGAGGCACATCGGATCGGTGTGTTCGTAAGTGTGCGTACCGCTAGGCCTCCCAAATGGGGTCAGTGTAGATGGTGTCGGGAGGATGACGACGCATCGCCGATGCATCGGCGATGCGGCTCGATGTGGAGCTGATCTTCTCCACCCCAACGGTGCCGAGCCATCGGCGACGTTGCCGATTCATGGCCGATGCATCGGCGATGTATTGACGATGCAGCGCGAACCTCCGACTAAATCTACTCTAGGGCGACGAAGCCTATACATATCCACTGCTCCCTGGCCAGACCAATCCTGAACCCAGGAGCTGTGTATACGCTACGCCCTCCTGGCTTGGCGAGGAGGGCGTATACACAGCTTCTGGCTCAGGATAGGCCCAGCAAGGGAACAGTAAGTATGTATATATTCCGTCGTCCTAATTCGGACCCTCTGTATGCGTCCCAGGAGTCCGTACGCCCGGACCCTGCGGCCGCCGGCGCCGCCGCCGCAGCGGCGCGCCGGCAGCAGGCCCTCCAGCGCGGGGGCATCGCGGCCCGCGAGCGCGCGGTGCCCCGCCAGCGCGCGGTGGCTCGCCGTGTGGCAAACCGAGACGTCGTCGTGGTCGTCGTCGTCGTCGTCGTCGTCGTCGTCGCCCGCCAGCGTGCTGTCATGAATCGGAGCATGAACAAGTCATGACGGGAGGTGTGTTCGTCATTTTGGTCTCTAGGGGCCCTCGCCGGGACTCGAGACCGTCCAAAAAGGACTCGGGATGCACAGCTTGTCCCGGGGAGGGGGTCGAGACGGGGGTCGGCGTCATGGGGCAACCCAGAAACATGCTGGGGTGTGTTCGATGCCGGGATCGTTTTGGCTTGAGCCATTTGGCTCAAGGGCAGGCTCAAGGAGGCTCGAGTGGAACCCCATGTGGCCTCCTGGGGCCTCCTGGAGCCTGCTGGAGCCTCCTGTGGCATCCTGGGGAGAGTCTGTGCCCACGAGTCTGGCCACCAAGACAGGCAAACCGATCGAGACATCCTCAAAGCCTGGCCCCCCCTGGGGGACGAAAATGAGCGCCTCTCTCGAGACATCCTCCAAATCTGCTCCGAAAGCGGAGGATGTTGGGCATGCAAACAGGCAAACCGCTCGAGACATCCCCACCATTTTCGCGCGCGCGAACGGAGGCCGTGCAATACCCTTGGCGGCCCCCCCTAAATGAGCGCCTCGCTCGAGACATCCTCCAAATCTGCTCCGACAGCGGAGGACGTTGGGCATGCAAACAGGCAAACCGCTCGAGACATCTCCGTCATTTCGGCGCGAACGGAGGCCGTGCAATACCCTTGGCGGCCCCCCCTTCAGAGTGCTAAAACCAGCTAGCCGCTCGAGACATCCTCATCATTTGCTCATCGTCTTCATCATCGTCATCATCATCATCATCATCATCATCATCATCATCATCATCAGCATCATCATACTCATACTCATACTCATACTGATACTCATACTTATACTTATACTCGTACTCGTACTCGTACTCTTCTTCATCGTTCTCATCCATCATTCACCATCACCATCATACGCACATCATACTCTCACCATACCATGGCCATCATGACAATTATCATCATCATTGCCTAGTGCAGACAGGGAGGAGGGGACGTGGGAGGTCTGGCGCGGTCAGATAATAACAATAACCACAGCCTTTGGATGTGGGGAGAACATCCCCGCCATTTTGGCGCGAACGGAGGAGTACAATACTCCTCTGTCGGCTCCCCCTTGGGGGTGTTGAAGCCCGCGCTTAGCTCAAGGCATCCTCAGAATTAGTTCCGCTATCGTCATCATCAGCATCAGCATCAGCGTCCTCACAATCATCATCACCATCATCATCATCATCATCATCATCATCATCATCATCATCTCCAAAATCAAAATCATCATCATCATCATAAGCATCATCATCATCATCATCATCATCATCATCATCATCATCAAAATCACCACCATCATCATCATTGTCATCACAATCATGATCACTATCGCAGCAGAGCGTAGCACCACGCAGATGCGGATAGGAGTGAGAAGGCGGTGTGGACATCGGCAGTTTGCCAGCCTCTGGAGAAGCCCGCCGCAGGCGCCAACCTTCACACATTATACAACGAGCCCGCCGCAGGCGCCGATTTTTTCGTCAAACCAAGGAGGTTAGGTCGCGGGTGGGTCGCAAATGAGTTGCGGGTGGGTCGTTGGTTGGTCGCTGTTGGGTCGCGGGTGGGTCGCGGATGGGTCGCGGGTGGGTCGTGTGGTGGTCGCGGGTGGGTCGCAAGTGGGTCGCGGGTGGGTCGCGGGTGGGTCGCGGGTGGGTCGCGGGGTGGGTCGCGGGGTGGGTCGCGGGGTGAGTCGCGGGGTGGTTTGCAAGAGGGTCGCGGGTGGGTCGCGGGGTGGGTCGCGGATGGGTCGCGGGTTGGGTCGCGGGTGGGTCGCGGATGGGGTCGCGGGGTGGGTCGCGGGGTGGGTCCTTGGGTGGGTCGCGGATTACGCGGCTGGGACGACGACGACAGCAACAAACAAACACACAACCAAACAAGCAAACAAACAAACAAACAACAACAACGCACCAAGCATAATCCTCACCACGGATCCCAACTTCAGCCACGCACCCAGGGACAATGAATAACCGTTCGGCCCCCACCCCCACTGTGATCATGACATGCCGTACCATAACAGCATACCATATCATGACGCACCATATCGTAGCATACCATGGTATACCATGTACATATATATATATATATGTGAGTAAAACAATAATATAAAAAACACATGTATATATAAGCATCATACTATAACATAGCATACCAGTCAAAACCATTCCATAACATAGCATGACATACCATATAATATCATAATAAAGCGTACCATAACATCCAATACCATACCATGACACACCATACGCCACCATAACATAACATGAGGAGGAGGATACTGAGGAGGGCGTGTGGAAGGACGGTCTGCGCGGTCACAGTAAGGACAATAACCCCATCCTTTGGATATGGGGGATAACATAGCATAGCATAGCATGGCGTACCATAACATATCATAATATAGCATCAGAGTGAAGGGGGCCGAACGGCCATTCATTTTCCTTGGATGCGTGGCTGAAGTGGGGACCCGTGGTCAGGATTCTGCTTGTTGCGATGTTGTTGATTGTTGTTTGTTCGTTATCGTCCTCCCACGCGACCCATCCCGCAACCCACCCCGCGATCAACCCCGCGACCCACCCCACGACCCACCCCACGACCCACCCGCGACCCACCCGCGACCCACCCGCGACCCAACCCGCGATCCATCCGCGACCCACCCCGCGACCCACCCGCGACCCACCCCGCGACCCACCCCGCGACCCACCCCGCGACCCACCCGCAACCCACCCCGCGACCCACCCGCGACCCAACCCGTGACCCACCCGCGACCCACCCCGCGACCCACCCGCGACCAACCCGCGACCCAACAACGACCCACCCGCGTCCCACCCCGCGACCCACCCGCGACACAGTCGCGACCAATGTTCGACCCACCCGCGATCTACCCACATTGGCTGAACGAAAAAAATCGGCGCCTGTAGCGGGTTTCTTGTATACGTTGTGAAAAGTTGGCGCTTGCGGCGGGCTTCTCCAGAGTCTCGCAGACTGGCGCCCCCTCACTTTTATCCGCATCTGCGGGGTGCTACGGAACATAGAATGCCAGACCATACCGTAGTATAACATATCGTAGCACCCCGCACATGCGGGTAAAAATGAGGGGGCGGTGGGGATGTCGGCAGTCGGCGAGACTTTGGAGTAGCCCGCCGCAGGCGCCAAAATTTCACAAACTATCAAGGAAAAAGTATTTCGGACCTTCCGTCTGACTTAAGGGTAACGCTTCCCGCACCAGAAGGGTGATGTGGCTCTCGCCTTAGCGCCGCGGGCATTCGCTTCAAAAACTTGCAAGAGCTTCACGGACGGGGGGTGGTTTGTGACTCTCGCCTTAACGCCGCGCACATTCGTTTCATAATTTTGCAAATGTTTTCACGGATGGAGGGCGACTCGTTTTCAAAATGTGGTTTTCGTTTCAGTGCCGCCCACGGTTTTTTTTGGAAACGTTGCAGGAGCTGCACGGATGGAGTGCGGCTCGTTTTCAAAAATCGAATGTGCGCGGCGTTGGCAAAGCCGCGCACATTCGATTCTAACCTTTTGCAAGAGCTTCACGGATGGAGGGCGGCTCGTTTTCAGAAAAGTTGTTTCTGGCCCCAGCGCCGCGCATATCCGTTTCGAAAAACGTGCAAGAGTTTCGCGGATGGACGGCGGCTCGTTTTCGAAATGTGGCTCTCGCTTCAGCGCCGCACACATTCGTTTTGAAACCGTTGCAAGAATGTAACGGGCTGTGGGCGGCTCGTTTTCAGACGGTGGCTCTCGCCTCAAAGCCGCGCGCATTCGTTTTGAACAATTTGCAATTTGTTCACGGATGGAGGGCGGATCGTTTTGAAGTTGTTGCCCTTGCCTTAGCGCCGCGCGCATTCGATTCTGAAACTTGCAAGAACGTCACGGATTTAGGGCGGCTCGTTTTCAAAATGTTGTTGTCGCTTCAGCGCCGCGCACATTCGTTTTGTGCGGGAGGTTCACGCATGGAGGGCGGCTTGTTTTGAACATGTTGTTCTCTCCCGCATTAGCGCCGCGCACATTCGTTTTGGAAATGTTGCATGAACTTCACGGATGGAGGGCGGCTCGTTTTCAAAATGTGGTTTTCGCTTGAGCGCAGCGCGCATTCGATTCTGAAAAACGTTGCAACAGCTTCACGGATGGAGGGCGGCTCGTTTTCAACATGTTGTTCTCGCCTCAGCGCCGCGCGCATTCATTTAGGAAACGTTGCAAGAGATTCACAGATGGAGGGCGGCTCGTTTTCAAACTGCTGTTTTCGTTTTTGCGCCGCACACGTTCGTTTTGAAAACGTTGCAAGAGCTTAACGGACGGAGTGGGTGCGACCATCGTTCAACATGTTGTTTGTTCCTTCGCCCCGCGCGCATTCGTTCTGAAACTGTTGCAAGAGCTTCACGGTTGGAGGGCGGCTCGTTTTCAAAAAATGTCGCTCTCGCCTCAGCGCCGCGCACGTCCGTTTTGCAGAACGTTGCAAGAGCTGCACGCGGATTGAGGGCGACTCGTTTTCAAAATATAGCTCTCCCCAGCGCCGGCCACATTCGTTTCAAATATTTGCGAGAGATTCAAGGGTGGAGGGCTGCTCGTTTTCACCATGCGGTTCTCGCCTCAGAGGCGCGCGCATTCTTTGCAAGATTTTCAAGGAGCTTCGCGGGTTGAGGGCGGCTCGCTTTCAAAATGTTGCCCTCGCTTCAGCGCTGCGCACAGTCGCATTGAACATGTGGCAAGAGCTTCTCGGATGGATGGCGGCTCGTTTTTTAAATGCTGTTGTCGCCTCAGCGCCGCCCGCATTCGTTTTGAAAGCGTTGCATGAGTTTCACGGAGGGAGGGCGGCTCGGTTTCAACATGTTGTTCCTGCCTCAGCGCCGCGCATATTCGTTTCGAAAAACTGGCAAGAGCTTCGCGGATGGAGGGCGGCTCGTTTTCAAACTGTGGTTTTCGTCACAGCGCGCGCACTCTTTTCAACAGGTTGCAGAAGTTTCGCGGATTTGAGGGCGGCTCGTTTTCAAAATGTGGTTTTCGCTTGAGCGCCGCGCACCGTCGCATTGAACATGTTGCAAGAGCTTGACGGACGGAGGTCGGTTCGCATTCAATATGTGGTTATTGCTTCAGTGCCGCGCACATTCGTCCTGAAAACGTTGCAAGAGCTTCGCGAATTGACGGCGACTCGTTTTCAAACTGTTGTTCTCGCCTCAGGGCAGCCCGGGCGTTCCCCTCGGCGGCGTGTGGTTGATATTCTTGGCATCGCGCGGGCGTGTGAATTTTCCTTGGCGAAAACCTTTCCGAGAGGCATCTAGGATCATCGTGCGATCAAGTATCGCACGAAACCTAAAAATTCACGGAATTGGACGTCCGAGCGATGGCGATTTCTGTGTCATGCCCCCCCCCCCTCCCCCAGGTGGCGGGAGCACGTGCGCCGCAGGCTCCAGTTCGAGTGAGGCGTTCTGGAGCACCGCCCGGGCCCCCCATGGAAGAAGGGCACAAGCAGACTGTCCGAGGGTTGCGCGGATATCTCGGGTCGGCGCCGGACTCTCTGGCGCGCGGAACCATGGCCAGCACCGGAGGCAGGGTGCGTCTCTTTTGAAGGTCTGGGCGAGAACGGCCGTGATCGGCCTTCCCTTTCCCTTCCCCCCCTGGGGATGACGTCGCGCTATTTCGCACACGGTTCCAAAGATCTCCGACGGATTCTGCCAGGGTTTCCTAAGATTTTCGGCGGCCCCCCGTTGTGATCGGGGGCGACGAAATCCCCCCCCCCGACCATGCCCGTGATCGCGAATGGTAAAAAACAATGGGCGCCAGAAGAAGCCGAGGTCGACCGCGCGGACAGTCCCGCGCCAGGTTCCCGCACAAGGTCGCGCAGAAGTGCCCTTCTCTAAACGAGGCGTACAAAGCAGTTGCGTGGTGTGCTACGCTGGCGGCCCCGCGTCAGCCGCGGCACAAGGTCGCCGTGTTTTCTGCCGTGAGATCAAGTTCCTTCTCGTCGTTCCCCTGGCGGCGTCTCCAGCGCCAGAGGGAGGCCCGGTGCCGATCCGAGGCGTCCGCGCAGACCTCCGGACCCAGACCTCCCACGCCATGATCATTTCATGCCGTCGACTCACAGAGGTCTCGACCCGTTCCATGGCACGGGCCGTTCACCCCGAGTCGTTTTTGTTCGCGGCCCTGAGGCCCAGCGGGGGCTCCCAGGCAGAACATGGCGACAGCACCGTCCGCCGGCGTTGCTTTTCCAAGGCGCGAGGGTTCTGGGGATGCTTCTGCCCGTGTGTTTGTGTGTGTGTGGTGTGTGTGTGTGTGTGTGTGTGCGTCCGTGCGTCCGGGCGTGCGTGCGTGCGTGCGTGCGTGCGTGTGCGTGTGCGTGTGCGTGTGCGTGTGCGTGTGCGTGTGCGTGTGCGTGTGCGTGTGCGTGTGCGTGCGTGTGCGTGTGCGCGTGTGCGCGTGTGCGTGTGCGTGTGTGCGTGTGCGTGTGCGTGTGCGTGTGCGTGTGCGTGTGCGTGTGCGTGTGCGTGCGCGTGTGCGTGTGCGTGTGCGTGTGCGTGTGCGTGTGTTCCCCTTCCTCTACAGGACCGCCTCGCGCTGATATCGCCGGCGCCCGCTGGCGCCGATCGCCACCGCTCCCGAGCCGCCACGGCAGGAGGGCGCGCCCCGAGGCGGCGGCCGCTTCGCGCCCGCAGCCCCGCAGGAAGGGGGGGGCCCGGCAGCAGGTCGTGGGAGCCGTCCGTCTATGGAGCGAACTGGCGTCGATCAGCGTCTGGTATCGGAGGAGGAAAAGGTTTATGGGGGCGAAGAAGGATACAAACTGGATACTGTTGCCCTTCCATCGTTTCCCACTTTTTGGCTCTCCTGGGAGGTCTTCGTCGGCACCGCTGGATTCGCCTCGAAAGTCTGGTCAGAACGCATCCCGGGAGAATTCTGGGGAGCAGCGGTATCGGTACCGTTTGGTTTCCTTGTTTGTCTCTCGAGTGCCCTCGTGCCGATCCGTGTCTGGCGATCCACGAGTTAGCTCCGACCTAGCGCCCTTTCGCGTCGATCGGCGTCGAGTTTGGCGCCAAACCACCGCTGATTTGGCGTCGACGAGCGTCGTTGCGCAGGAGCCTACAGGGTGGTACGGGACGCTCCCAGGGCCCGCAGCAGGAGGGGGCGGGCCGCGGCCTCGGCCCGCGGGGACGGGCACGGCTGCGCCCCATGCGGGCAGGCATCGGTCCCGGACCCCCTCACGCCGTGGAGAAGAAGGTGCAGGCCGAAAGTACACGCCGAACGTTGTTGATGTTGTTGTTGTGATTGTTGCTGCTGTTGCTGCTGTTGTGGTTGTTGTTGCCGATGTCGTTGGTGGTGGTGTTGTTGTTGTTGGTTGTATTGTTGTTGTTGTTGTTGTTGGTGTTATTGTTGTCGTCGCTGTTTTCGTTGTTGGTGTTTGTTTTGTTATTGTTGCTGTTGTTGTTGCTGGTGTTGTTGTTTGTATGTTTTGTGTCATTTGTCGTGCTGTCGTTATTGTTATTGCTGTGTTGTTATTATTGTTGTTGTTCTTGAGTGCTCATACCTGAAAATCGGTCCGCGCGCTCTCGCCTCGACGCCGGCTGCAATTCCATTGAAAACGAGGCTCCCGCGCGAGCGTTGACTTGAGTGTAAATGTGTGCCCTTGGAGGCCCGGCTGCAACGACTCGATATTTCTTCACACTTTACCCCGAGACACTCTGGCCGGCGATGTCCTCGAACTCAGGAACGGCGCTCTCGCCCGAGATTTCCTCGCAATTGTTGCTGTTGTTGTTGTTGTTGTTGTTGTTGTTGTTGTTGTGCTTCTTGTTGTTGTTGGTGTTGTTCTTGTTGTTCTTGTTGGTCTTGTTGTTGCTGTCGAATTCATTTCAGGAAATATTTATCGTTGATCTCCAGAAACGGTTCCGCGCGCTATCGCCTCGACGCCGGCTACATTTTCTCTGAAAACGAGGCTCCCGCGCGAGCGTTGACTTGAGTGTAAATGTGTGCCCTTGTAGGCCCGGCTACAACGACAACGGCTCCCGCTCGATACTTCCTCACCATTTACCCCGAGACACCCAGGCAAGAGAGGCCCCCGATCTCAGGAACGGCGCTTTCGCTCGAGACTTTCTCTCGATTCAGCCAAGTTGGCGGAGGCCCAACTACGACGAAAAGGGCTCGCGTTCGATACTTCCTCAAGATGCATTCACAGAGGCCCTTGCCAGAGAGGCCCTCGAACTCAAGAACGGCGCTCTCGCTCGAGACGTTCTCGCGATTCAGCCAAGTTGGTGGAGGCCCAACTACGACGAACAGGGCTCCTTCTCGATACTTCCTGAAGATGTATTCGCAGAGGCCCTTGCCAGAGAGGCCCCCGAACTCAAGAGTGGCGCTCCCGCTCGAGACGCCCTCGCCATTCAGTCAAGTTGGTGGAGGCCCAGTCGCGACGCCAAGAGCTCCCTTTCGCTATTTCCTCAAGCTGTACTTCGATACCCCGTGGCCAGAGACTGACATTCAGTAGCGGTGCCAGAGGCCCACCTGCGACGACAGGGGCTCCCGCTCGACACGCCCTCGCAATGTATTAGTATACGCCCTGACCAGAGAGGTCCCTGAACCACAGAGGCCCCAGGAGGGAAAAGCCACACAGACACAAGGAATCGTCGATTCCCAAGAAAATATAATAATTACTCCGACGGAAGAGCCCCACATAAGAATCCTCTGGGCGAATCTGGAAAAAGCCATCACCGTCGTCCTCGTGGTTGGTGAGGCGTCCTGGCTGTCTCTTCTGCGTATATTTCCTCTCGCCTTGGCGCGGGCCCCCCTTCCACTCCTTACGTTGTCCCCATCCTCGCCCCCCTGTTTGTTCCGCGCCCCGCCACCTCCTCCCCTTCCTGTTGCATGAGCGCGCATGTCGATGTTCCTCGGCGCCGTCGCCGCCACGGCCAGCACAGGCGCGTTCTCTACAGGTCACGTCGCGCAGCCGTTGGGACAACCCCGCGGGCCAGGCTGTCGGGACAACCCCGCGAGCCGTTGGCGCGCAAGACCAAGCCGTTGGGACAACCCCGCGGGCTTCGAGCGAGGCGCAGCCGCGCTCAGGCGGAAGGCAGCACGAAGCCCAGCTCTGCCGCGAGCTGCTTCGCCTCCGCCCTGGACAAAACCGTTCTCTTGTCGAACTCCAGGAGCGCCTTCCGCAGGGACGCCGGCGGCCCGCACTCCAGGAACTCTCGCGGCGGCGGCCGCAGGATCAGCATGTTCCGCATGCACGTGGCGCGGGAGAACATGACGTAGAGGTGCAGCCACCACTGCTCGTCCGACATGCCCGTGCGGCCAGCGTCCTCGTCTCTCGCGCAGTCGATGGTGACGCCCTTGCGCAGCGTCTGGCCCTGCGACAGCGTGGAGGTCAGGTAGGACGCGTGCGTCAGGGTGAACCCCGAGCGGCGCACGCTGTGCGCCCCCGAGCTCTGCCATGTGAACTCCCTTTCGCTGGGCCTGAACATCAGCAAGCTCCGCGCCCGCGCCTCGGCCTGGCCGTCGTCGTCGGCGCCTTCGGCGCCCTGTCGCAGCACCTCGGCGACCTGAGGAGCCCAAAAACTTCCTTGTTGCATCCAAAGTGTGGCCTGGGAACTGCGTTCTGGCAGCGCGAGAACCCAACATTGACGACAGTTACAGGTTTTGGATGACCTGCTCGGATTACCAACATGATCTGCGGGCCCCATAGGGAGGGGGCTCCCGCCTGAGACTTCCTCGCAGTTCACTCACAGACGAGGCTCCCGCCTGAGACTTCCTCCATATTCAGGCTTGAGGAGCCCAAAAGTGACGACAGTTACAGGGTTCCGATGACCCGCTCGGATTACCAACATGATCTGCGGGCCCCATAGGGAGGGGGCTCCCGCCTGAGACTTCTTCACAATTCACTCAAAGACGAGGCTCCCGCCAGAGACTTCCTCCAAATTCAGGCTTGACGAGCCCAAAAGTGACGACAGTTACAGGGTTCCGATGACCCGCTCGGATTACCAACATGATCTGCGGGCCCCATAGGGAGGGGGCTCCCGCCTGAGACTTCCTCGCAGTTCACTCACAGACGAGGCTCCCGCCTGAGACTTCCTCCATATTCAGGCTTGAGGAGCCCAAAAGTGACGACAGTTACAGGGTTCCGATGACCCGCTCGGATTACCAACATGATCTGCGGGCCCCATAGGGAGGGGGCTCCCGCCTGAGACTTCTTCACAATTCACTCAAAGACGAGGCTCCCGCCAGAGACTTCCTCCAAATTCAGGCTTGACGAGCCCAAAAGTGACGACAGTTACAGGGTTCCGATGACCCGCTCGGATTACCAACATGATCTGCGGGCCCCATAGGGAGGGGGCTCCCGCCTGAGCCTTCCTCAGAATTCACTCACAGACGAGGCTCCCGCCTGAGACTTCCTCCATATTCAGGCTTGAGGAGCCCAAAAGTGACGACAGTTACAGGGTTC